ACAGTATTTCAATTGATAGCGATTTTATTTCCAGCCATATTATGGTCAGCTGCGGTGCAGAAATACACAGTACATTTAGGTGTGTTTGCCATGATTAGGCCGTCTGGCTCATACTATATTTAAATGGGGTGTGTCTCTCTCTCTCTCTCTCTCTCTCTCTCACATACACACACACACACACACACACACAAACACAAACAATATGTATTATATTTAGCCTACTTTTGGGCATTTTTGCATTACTTTCATGGCATTTAAGGACATTTATCTCTAAAATATTTAAATATGTATTATATTTTAGCCTATTTTTGGGCATTTTTACATGTCTGTGATGACATTTAAGGACATTCATCCTCTAAAAATATTTAAATATGTATTATATTTAGCCTATTTTAGGGCATTTTTACATGTCTTTCATGACATTTAAGGACATTTATCCCTAAAAATATTTAAATATGTATAATATTTAACCTGTTTTAGGGCATTTTTACATTATTTTCATGACATATAAGGACATATATGATATATCCTTAAAATATTTAAATATGTATAATATTTAGCCTATTTTGGGGTATTTTTACATTATTTTCATGGCATTTAAGAACAATTATCCCTAAAAAAATATTTAAATATGTATTATGTTTAGCCTATTTTAGGCCATTTTTACATGTCTTTCATGACATTTAAGCATATTTATCCCAATTTTGTATTTATTTATTTTTTTTAAATGTAATATATTTTGCTTATGTTGGGGCATTTTTGCATTCATGACATTTAAGGATATTTATCCCTAAACATATTTAAATATGTATTATATTTAACCTACTCTGGGCATTTTTACATTATTTTCATGGCATTTAAGGACATTTATCTCTAAAAAAATATTTAAATATGTATAATATTTAGCCTATTTTGGGGTATTTTTACATTATTTTCATGGCATTTAAGAACATTTATCCCTAAAATTTTTTTAATATGTATTATGTTTAGCCTATTTTAGGGCATTTTTACATGTCTTTCATGACATTTAAGTCCTTAGTGACATTTAAGGACATTTCACCCTAAAAATAAAAAAAATAACTATTATATTTAGTCTATTTTAGGGTATTTTTACAGAACACACATATACATACATATACACATATATATAGATACCTCTATCTCTCTCTCTCTCTATATATATATATATATAATATTAGAATATTAATAGCCAAATATTAACAGCAAAAAAATAATAACAATAATCATAATAAAAACAAACCTTTCAGTTTGACTTGGCCAATTTACTGTATTAATTTGCATAAATCATTGCATGCAGTTGTGCTCAGCCACTTGGTGCTGCTGAGGCAATGCTGTAAGACCATCACCATAGTTTCTGCAGGTTTCCATGGCAACTGAGCCACTATATATCAGCCGCTATGGAGGGGAGACAAGCGGAGGAGAGGAGAGGAGTAGAGAGGTGAGCTCTGGAAAGCAAAGGGGAGGTGAAAGCCAATGAGGGGAGCAGAGGGGAGAGTCAGACAGCAGGGAAAAAGAGGGAAAAAACTCTGGCATGTCTTCAGAGACAATAAATACATGCATGTTAGAAAGAGAGAGAGAGAGAGAGAGCGGGCTATTTTCAGACCCAGGTTGTCATGGAAACAGAGGCCTCGCTTTTATCCCTAAAAATTTTTTAATATGTATTATGTTTAGCCTATTTTAGGGCATTTTTACATGTCTTTCATGACATTTAAGGATATTTATCCCTAAACATATTTAAATATGTATTATATTTAACCTACTTTGGGTATTGTTTACATTATTTTCATGACATTTAAGGATATTTATCCCTAAACATATTTAAATATGTATTATATTTAACCTACTTTGAAGAGAGAGAGAGAGAGAGAGCGGGCTATTTTCAGACCCAGGTTGTCATGGAAACAGAGGCCTCGCTACTGATGCAGACGTTCAATGCTCACAGTTGCTCGAATCTGATTAACAACAACTGCAGATAACTATCCCATATATATCAAATATAACAAGCCAACATAAAGACTGTGACCTGAACCTACAGACAGCTCTAGAAACACTATGCAGTCACTACAGATGTTACATGAGTGGTATAATGATGGTATAATGGTGTGAGCGGGACACGAGACAGTGGAAAAATACAGTAAGGCATAGTCAGTCGGTGAGCGGCATCGATGCAGATGATTTCCAAGAGCCAAAGCGCTATATGCTGATGCTCCATCGCTTGATTAGCAGCTCCCCCTCACTCACTCACTCCTCTCTGAAGGACAGAGGGTTTCCCACATTTCACAGTTGCTATGGAAACGCTGCAACCAGAACAGGGAGTGTATGCAGGAAGTGTGTGGCGTTTAGGTGAGGCCGCAACCAAACCAAGATTTCCCACATACAGTTTTCAGGAATATTCAGCGGCTACACGCTACTGGTTAAAAGTTTGGATTTGAAGTGATTCCGAAAAGCCTCTTCTGCTCACCTCAGCTGCATTGGTTTGATTAGAAATACAGTAAAAGCTGTAATATTATTGCAATTTAAAATAACTCTTTTCTATGTGAATATCTGTTAAACTGTAATTTATTCCTGTGATGCGCAGCTGAATTTTCAGCATCATTGCTCCAGTCTTCAGAACATATTTAAATATGTATTATATTTAACCTACTTTGGGTATATTTTTTTACATTATTTTCATGGCATTTAAGGACATTTATCTCTAAAAAAAATATTTTAATATGTATTATATTTAGCCTATGGGGTATTTTTACATTATCTTTGTATTTTTTTTTATTTATTTTTTTTATATGTAATATATTTTGCTTATGTTGGGGCATTTTAACATTCATGACATTTAAGGATATTTATCCCTGTATTATATTTAGCCTATTTTGGGGTATTTCTTACATTATTTTCATTGCATTTGGACATTTATCCCTCAAGATCTCATTACGGTAATGCAAAAAATTAAATCCATTCTTATTAAAGTCTTAACATCAGCATAAATTGAGTACAGCAGATACTACCATGATTTATATCATTATTGTTTTATGAGTAATACAAATACACAGCATATCAAATCTCATCTCTTCTCACAAACACATTCTCTCTCTTCTGAACGCAGCCGCACCGATAGAGAAGAAGGACTAGGACAGATGACAGCAGCGTTAACAGCAGAGATGAAACGGATGGGAAATGACATCGACTGAGTATGATCCACCATAAACTTATGTTTTAAAGTCATTTGTGTTAGCCAGGCTCTCCGTGTGAATGAAATAACCGACGCCGGCGCACACGGTCTTAAACTCTCGCTCTGGTTTTGTAGCTTTTGAAGGCTTTGAATAAACGCTCGGTTGACTGCATTAAGCCCCAGTGAGAAGTATTTTTATCAAAACTATAGCAACCGGTGACGTTGTGCTATGGACAATTATGCATGTTCAAAAACAATGGCTTTAATAGGGACTGAACACAGATCCTTCCTTTCAACATGTAGTCGACATATTTCCTCTTCATAAATGATTTAAGGTTCAAACAGGTGATTGATCGCTGATATAAGTACAATACATTATAACAATTAATATAAACTGGTTACATACCTTAATGCTGTCTGAAATGAACGAATTGCCTAATGCTTTCATTTTGCTCGAATATTTGCAGCCCAAACTGCATTGTATGTGTAACTTGTATCTGCATTTGTTGTGTTGCAGAGCGGAAAATAAACTACTTTTATGACAACTGCACCATCACTGATTTCACAACACATCTGCAGGTGAAGATAAAGCACACACTGAAACACAAGAGGATTTTTCACCATTTTCTGCTCATTCGATCCACTAGTCTTCACAAAACATGTCTAAAGCCCACTAACTTTTTCACATTTTCCACAATATCATAGATGCATTATCAGTTTATAATATAAAGTTTACCCAAATGGTGCTGATTGAAAGATATTAATTGACCTCCTTTAATGGCCAAGACGTATTTATTAAAATGTGACGATGTGAAAATGAGGATTTTGTCACCTACAGTAGTATTGATTGGAATATGGTTTTTGACAAATTGTTGAATCTCACAAAGCCCAGGTCATATTTATTCTCAATATTAAACAGAAAAAAATACATATAAAAAACTTATGAAAATATAAAAATGTGTGTGTGTGTGTATTCATTGTGGAAACTGTGAAACGGTGAAAGTTTGGGGTAGGTAAGATTCAATAAAATAAATAACAATAAAATAGTAAACAATAAGGACGCATTAAATTGATCAAACAGACATTTATAATGTTACAAAAGATTCCATTTCAAATATATGTTATATCTTATATTGAGCAAATAATCCTGAAAAATAAAATGTATCACAGTGTCCACAAAAATATTGGGCAGCACAACTGTTTCCAGCATATTAGAATGATTTCTGAAGGATCGTGTGACACTGAAGACACTGAAGAGTAATGATGCTGAACATTTATCACAGGAATAAATTACGTGACAATATATTCACAAAGAAAACAGTTATTTCAAACTATAATAATATTTCACTATTTTTCTTGTATTTTTGATTAAATAAATACAGCCTTGGTGAGTGTAAGAGACTTCTTTCAGAAACATTAAAGAAACCGTAACTATTCCAAACGTTTGTCATATTCCATACATTACAGGTCATACTTGTTTTCTGATTTTGTATATAGATTTATTTACTTATTTAAGTAGCTGTGCAATAAGTAGGATGATGTACAATCATCCAGTCATTATCACAAACAAGACCAAATCAGCCTGTCAGGTGTGTTATGCTGTAATGACCGACTGACTGACTGAAAATCAAAACAGCTTGATGTGGTTCCCAACTGCTGGGATGCAAGGTCACGATAACATTAGTTGAATGCAAATAATAAAATGCAACTAACTATAAACATGCACAGTTAGGATAGCAAAGTATTTTCTTATTCAGCCAGGTTTTTATATGAAAAAAAAAATCAATGTTGATTTTTAAGGGCTTTTTTTTACTTGTATGATAAATAATTGAGCTCAATGTACAACATATAATCTGGCTATTAAATAAAACATTTGAGAACCACTGATTTAATCCTTCTGCGGAAAGATAGATTGAATATCAACAGCGCTGTAAGCAATTTTCCAAACTTCCACCAGACCATTGGTCTAAAATTAGACCACACCCCCTCTCCAAAACTCCGCCTTCAACAGACACAAGTCATATGCAGACAGTGTTACTGATTGGCTATGAAAAAATGCACAGGCCACAGAATCACTTCAAAAATATCTTATTTACAACGCCTTTAAAAAAGGTCGAACATAAAGACACAGAGTTCTAAAGCCAACAATGTCCATGTTTTATTGATAAAGAGCATCTGTGTAGCGAATGGCATAGTGCAGAGGCTCACACGCAGTTAAGCATTGGCCACAACCTTTGACCCGGAACTGATGGCCAATCAACTAGCTCTCCACAGCCGAACCACACAGCATCAACAGAGAAAAGAAAGCAAATGAACTAAAAATACTCAGTACAAATAAATAGGTAAACAGATGAAGAACAGCTCTAAATGGAACAGAGCTGATATTAGCGGTACTGTATTTTTTTTATGCAAAAAATGAACTTTATTTTATTTTTAATTTTTTTGAGGAGTGTGTTGTCCTATAGATAGAGATACAGAGAAACATACGAGTGAATCTCAAAAAAATGGCCAAAAACTGGTGAAATTTTACCACAAAATTATATTATTCAGCCTATTTTGAGTGTTTTTTTTAGCAATGTGACATTTCATCAGAAAAAAACTGTAACAAAAGAAAATCATTCTCAAAATTGCAACAACAAAAAAAAACCTGTAATATAATGTTACTGTTTGATGTACTCACTGTTTTATGCTAATTTATATATATTTAAATATGTATTATGTTTAGTCTATTGTAGGGTATTTTTACATTACTTTCATGGCATTTAAGGAGATTTATCAATAGAAATATTATGTATTATATTTAGTCTATTGTAAGAAATTGAAAGAAATTTCAAAAATAAAAAAAATTATAAATTCATTTCATCAGAAAAAAACTGTAACAAAAGAAAATCATTCTCAAAATTGCAACAACAAAAAAAAACCTGTAATATAATGTTACTGTTTGATGTACTCACTGTTTTATGCTAATTTATATATTTAAAAATTATACTGCTTTTTTGTATTATACACAGTAATGAGAATCTACAATACAATTTGAAAATTACAAACAAAATCAAAAATAAAATATCCATACAGCACTAGTGATAAAATGAGCTTGATTATCATAAAATGAAATGTCACAAAGAAAAAAAAAACAGGATTATTTTTCTATATGCACAATACAATTCTGTTCATTACATGCTGTAGTGAAATATGGCCCGTTTTCATGAGATTCACACATAAATAGAGGGAAAGAGAAATGCAGATAGTTTCCAAAAAGCTTTGTTCTGTTTCAAATCCTGAAGAACACATGTTCTGCTAATGGTAAATCAAAAAATAGAGAATATTTACATCTTTAGATTATATACATGGCAATACATGAACACATGGTCAGTGTGAGAAGGTGATAGAGAGAGCCGGAGAGCGAGAGAGAGACCCACCACATTAAGAGTCTACAGTGATGACACCGCTTCATTTAATAGTCATAATACAATCTTTCTGTGCTGATTCAGAAACAGCTTCAACACAGGTCTTCATCTCACAGCCAGTGAAATCAGCTTAGAGCAGCTTTTGAAAATGGGGAAAGGTTTAGATGAATTGTCTCTCAGTAGCCGTAAGAGTAATGTGATTTTGCTGGCCGCAGAGAGGATGCATAGATGAGAAGAACAACCTGCTACGGGATGACACACATCTGAACGCTGACGAACTGATTCACTGCCTCATGATCTTGGGAGGTAAGCATTTGGCCATTTAACGTTTCACAAGTTTGCTTGTATAATAAAAAAGAGGTATGGAAAGGCTCAAATGCAAGTCTGACTCAAGCAAAGACTACATTTGTGGCCTTTAGTCGATGTATGTTTGCTATATGCTGGTGTAAAAAAATCTCCAAAAGGATCAGGTACATATGCATTTCAAAACTTCAGACGTTCTCTTTCAGGAAAATGAACCGATGCAGAATGAATAAGATTCAGAATGAGAATCTCACTCATTCTCATGTAGCAAATCGAGGCTTGTTTGTAGAAACCGGTTGTTCATGAAGCTTTTAAAATTACACGGATGTGTTTTGACAAAATCATTCAATTTACTAGCATTAAATAGGCTAAAATGTTCAAATATTGGATCCAAGATCAATGCAAATATGTACACCTCAAGATATGCGCGTTTCAGTCTTTTCTGGTGTCGAGGACACAAAGCGAGGACGCGTTCCTCACATTAACTACCCTTTTACTTGTGTGATACTGACGTAATTCTGATCTACCTATGTTCCGCATCAGCAGATGAGGGTCAGGTGCTACAATAAGCTTTTAAGAGCATTTCCTGGCAATGATGTTGTTGCTAAGCAACTCCACTGGATATTCAAACACAATCAGCTTTCATACTGTAGGGAGAAATATGGAAAGCAATGAAAGCAGCAGAAAAAATATATAGTTCGCCCTATAATTCCATTATGAAGACTAGCAGGGAGACATTTGAAGGACTGGTGGGATATAATGGAAAACTATGTATAGCACTTGTGTCCTTAATCAAACGTGATACATGAATGCAGAAAACAATTGCCCGGTTTGATTTAAGAAAGTTCCCAGCATTTGAAAAAGGATGAATCAATTTTAACACCAACAATCTGATAAAAGATGATGAATTGGAAATTAAAAACTGAATAAAGTTTAATGCAGCAATTACAATAATACACGCATGTGTACTCTACTCCAATTAATGGCACATTGCACATTGTTATTATACAACTTCAAAGCCATTCAAGGATGAATAGAACGCTTTATGTAGTCAGCAGTTGTCGTATGGCTCCCACGAAGGACCTGTCAGTCCGCGAATCTCTTCAAAGAAAATACTCTCTGAAAGTGAGGCATACAAGTTTTCCCCCAAATGGATGACTAACCTTAAATTTGAAGCAGCTCAAGAGCGGTATTATTCCCATTCCCTGAACCCTGATTCCCAAACCCAGCGATTTGGATTTATAAACAGTATACTTGAAAATCTTTACATTAGATTACATGTCATATTGCAAAATCTTTCATCAGAAAAATCTGGACATTTTCACAATGTCTTTCATTCTCTCTGTTAAAAATCTAAAATTTTTCATGTCGGCGAAATCCCATGCTGCGTATCCCAGTATATTTCAAAGCTTTAATACAGCTTATTTTAAAGTCAACATGAACTCAAAATGGACGCTGTTTACGTTAACACACATTCCTTATTGTGCACGAGTCATCTGTGCACGTTATGCCAAGTAAGAAAAAAATATCTTCAGAATCTTTTATCAAAATGTAACCTGCTCCGCCTCTGAAATTACTTTCCGGTTCGGCTACCATCACAAATCCCTCTTGACTCCATTCTGGTACGCCCGCATTTCACAATCCAATCAATTCCTGATGAATAAAGTCATGTTCCACCCTGCGTCCACTGAATATCCTGTTTCATACTACAGAAGTTAAATGTTGCGTTTCATGTTGACTTTAAGTCCAGACACGTTCTGCACACATCAAATGCCAGTGAAATAGCCCTTACACACTGCTGTTACTCTTCAATTCAGGCGAAAAGACAAACATATGACACTCAAGATCTCTTCGAACGCAGATATGCACAGAGAGTTTGCACTACGGCGGCAGGTACTGTGGTACCTTTGCTGAGGACAGCAGCCAAGTACTCTTATTGTTCACATGGAAAGGCTTCTTCTCTCTGCCCTCTCCTCTAGGTATGATGAAAGTGTATGTCACCCTGAAACTGGTGTCTTTTAGAGTTTAGATTTCTGAGCTTATGAACTGATCATCACTTGTGCTAGATTCAGAATGTCATCATGACGCAGAGTGAACATGAGCATGTGTTCTGGATCACAGTAGTTTAAGTCTTTATTTTTGAATTAGTCTCAGTTAATACTGTCCCTTACACACACACACACACACATACACACACACACACAGGTACACTACCTACCGAGGTGAGTACGATGAATAATGATGTCAACCTCTGGGAAGTGTAAATGTGTGTATGCTTTTATACAGGTCTGTTAGCTGCTGTACATCGGTGTGTGTACTCGGTGTCGCTGGACTGTGGCAAACCAACACTTAAGTAATTACACTACTTTAATATAGACTATATTTTTTTATACGCGGACACAACTCATAAGAACTGCAAAAAAGACGCTTGCTTTGGCATGTATGTACTCAACAGCGCCATGTCCACTTCATCAGTAAAAGCCTGTCTCTCTGTTCATCGAACGGAATATTCCATAGAATCTGTCAGAAAGGGACGGAGTTCCAAAAGTCAAAGACCGCAGAGACTCGACAGTCACACTGGCGTAAAAAACAGTCTACTTCCCTTCCTGCGTGTGCATGTGTCTGCGAAGGTAATCAGATCTGGGTCTCCTGAACGCTCTCCTTGGAGCCATTCGATAGCAACAGCGGCTCAGTATGCATGTTGGGAACGTGACTAAGGCCTTTCAGAGTTCCATGGAAGGTCATCGCCATTGGGATGGGAATTGGCAGGGGAGGTGAGGTCGAGCCAGGGTTGGAGGGGTCACCAGAAGTCCCCATTTTCATGGTCGAAGCCTGGTTTTGGGAGGAAGGGTTGGGTTTGTTGTTGAGCATTCCAGAGGCCATGTTCAAGCCCAGCACGTTGTTGTTAAAGTGGTGCGCTTTGTAGTAGTGGTTCAGGTGGTCCGCTTGCCCAACGCTCGGCAAGGTCATGATCTCAGGGTCGTGATTCCTCGGACTCTGTCCGCTTCCTCCAACAGATCCCGCTCCCATGTGGACGGTGCTCCCTCCCGTGATGCCGCTAGCTCCACCGGCAGATCCGATCTCATCCTCGACATTGATGATCTCGATGGCGCGAGCCGGGCCGTGGTGTTTGTGCAGTTGGTGCTGCTTGCGAAGCTTGTAGAAGACGACCAGCATCACGGCCGCCATGAAGGTGATGGCCACAAAGCAGCCGATGATAATCTTGGTCGTCTTCATTACGTCCTCTAGACCCGACAGGTTGGCGACGTCCGTGATGGAGACTGTAAACGGGCGATCAGGTGCACGCGTGGCTCGAGGCGACAAGGAGGACAGCATCGAGCCAGTGGGACCTGCCGATGCAGATGCAGCCGTCGGCCCTGGAATACTAATAAACGTCTCGTTGACAAACTGCCGTGCCGAATCGTGGCCATCTTGCCCATTCTCTACAGTTTCAACGGTAACAGTTGTGAAGTAGCTGTAGCCATTGCCTGGGTCAGGTGCGGAGACGTTCAACACAGCAGTTGCTGTGGTGTTGCCAGCAGAGTTGGTGACCATACAGGTGTAGGGCCCGGTGTCTTGCATGGTCACGTTGGTGAAATTCAGGGTTCCGTCATGCAGGACCGAGATCCGGACCTTGTAGGCTCCATGGGTCATCAAGGTTCCATTGGGTGTCAACCAGTTAACGGAAGTCATGGATGTCCCAGTGCGGCATTTCAGCTCCGCTGCCATTCCCTCCGTCACGTTCAGGTCGGTGGGTGGCTCCACGATCACAGGTGCGTAGCAGGTGAAGTCTCGCTGGTCGAGGTCACCAATGTACCTGCCCTTAGTGCCCGGTGGGGCATGGCAACGTGCACAACAAGTGGAGTTATCAGGCACGGTTTCTTTAAGCCACCAGCTCAACCACAGAACGTCGCAGTTGCAAACCCAAGGGTTGTGGTTCAGATGGACACGCTCTAACTGCTGCAGTGGAGTGAAGAGATCGTGGGGCAGCGAATGCAGAGAGTTATGGGACAGATTGAGCTCCTCCAGGTTCTTGAGGTCATCGAAGGCATTCCTCTCAAAGACGGAGATCCGAGAGTGCATGAGCCACAGTTTGCGTAGAGACACCAGGCCTTGGAAAGATCCGGGACGCACCACTCCCAGCTGGTTTCCAGACAGCTCCAGTTCCTCTAGCCTCACGAGAGGCGTCAAGTTGGGTACATCCTTAAGCCCGCACATGCCCAGATTCAGGAAACGTAGGTTCAGCAACCCTTCGAACGCAGCCTCCGAGATGAAACTGAGTTTGCGCAGCTCGCCAAGGTCTAACCGTCGCAGGGACGGCACGCGGTGGAAGGCGTACGCCGGGAGTGTCTCTATGGGGTTGTTCCTTAGCCAGAGTTCACGCAGCTTGCTCAGGTACTCAAACGCCTGTGATGGTACCAGTGGTAGTCTGTTGTCAAAAAGCTCCAGGGTGATAAGATTGGGAAGGCCATTGAAAGCTCCCACTTCTATCTGACGAATCTGGTTCTTAGACAACTGCAAGATTTCCAGATGATTTAGGTGCTTGAAGGTGTCTGACCTGATCACCTGCAGAAAAAGAGAGGAAGAGTATATAGTAAGTTACAACAGCCTACATATTAAGGAACTGGGTTACTGCATCACTACTCTTACAGGTTTGCTTGTTCTGCAGCAGCGATTAAGATCGCCGTATGTCTTTGTGTTAGTATGCATACACAGGAAAGGTGCATCTTTGTTATTTTGTCGCTATTTCAGTATGTGCGTATGCATGACCATCTGTCACTCTGTGATCGACTGAATATGACTGGTTTACAATGCTAACTAACAGAGCTCGTTGACCAAGTACCTTTAGCACAAGGGCTCTGCAATTTCATGTAAGTAATGAAAATTTGTGTTCCATTTTGAATAGAAATAGCAATGTGGCAGTTAAATGAATGTCTTGGGTACTTGCATAATTACCACTGGTTGATTGGTTTGAAATTTTAGGATCAGCACACCAATGAA